TTTTTGGAGAGGGGGGGATCCCCTGGTATGCTCTCTCTCGGTAATGCTCTCTCCCTGAGAGCTGGGTTTTTGCTCTCTGTAAGGTTCTCTCAAACTTGGTAAATATCTCTCGAATTTCTTTGTTGAAAGTGGAGTGAATTTCTGGGTTGAATGAGTGGAATGAATTGATATGTGTTTGTGAGTATTAGTACCCGCCACCTGTGAGGATCTTCCTCCGAATACATGCGGGATATAGGTGTGTGTTTGTGAGTATTAGTAACCGCCACCTGTGAAGATCTTGCTCCGAATACATGCGGGATATAGGTGTGTGTTTGTGAATGTTAGTACCCGCCATCTATGTCGGAAAAAAGGTATGGAATTGATGTGAATTGATTTGGTGAATGAAAGTTTGAATGTGCTTTTTATTATCACCGGCCTTTTATGAGGAACAGCCTCTAAATTGTATCGGGAGATTTTAAATGTCACAACTGAATTGGGCAGTTGAAGTTACAAATGATGGTAATAAATGTAAAACTGTGAATTAAAGTTTCATATTAGAACATGATCACAGCGTGATAGGTTTAGTATGATTATAATGTTGTAACGAGAGAAGGTAAAAACCCTGTATAAATTTGGACCTATTTTTCTTCAAATAAACTGATCCCACCTTTTGGATTGGGACAATTTAAAAGACATCTGCGCTCTCCTCTCCTGCTTCAGAGGTAAGATTGCACACTGCCACACTCACACTTAGGTAGGGCCACACCTCATTTACTGACTTCAAAATCCTTCGGGATTGCTTAAACAGATTAAGAGGGTCGTCTGAATTGAAACAGCAGTTAATTGAACCTGGTTCTTCAGGAGTTAATAGAGGTGAGATCTTGCTGACGTTGGTGGATCTGAGCCAAGCAGCAAACTTACATAGACTCAATAACTTCTGTTAGGTTAATTAGTAGGTCTGAGTAATTCGCCGGAATAAATGATCAGGTCCTCCCGACTCTTACACCTGATTGAACATTACTACTACTACTACTACTACTAACACCACTATGATTAATACAACTACTACTCCTTTTACAGCTACTTATACTACAGCTGCTTCTACTAGTACAGCTATTACTACTACTACTACTACTACTACTACTTTTACTTATAGTATACTACTACGTGCATTTCATATCTAACTCCTTCAGCCTACTTTCAGCTACAAAAACCATTCAACTACAACATTATTCAGCTATTTCAGGACATTTAGGCTATACATTTTCTTGTTTATTAAGCTTCATCACTATTTTTCCTACTCTTCCAGTTTAAAATGTCACTGTTAAGTTTTCAACAAAGTCAGTGCAATGCATTTGAGTTATAACACTTACTTGGTTTTTGTAGCGAAAAGCAGCTACAGTCACCATTCAACTAATAAAATATTCAGCTTTTTCTGCATTTTTAAGCTAAATCCAGCAACAAATGTGTGCAGCTTACAGCATTCACATGCATTTTCAGCAGGAAATGCATTTTCTAGTTAGTATTAAAGTATCTACAGATGGAGCATCTTATTTCAGACTCCAGCATACAGCTTCCTGCCTACTACCAGCCAGTTACCTGCCTAAGACCTGCCAAAGACCAGTATCTGGGAATGTTAAGCCCTCCCACTATTTTCCAAGAGGGCGTTGCCAGATTTTCTATTTCAGGATTTAACCAGGAGATGGCGCTATATATTAAATAACTATGGCCAAACTAAGACTTAGTTTTTCACAAGAGAAAATGCAGATATTATATAAAAAACTAAAGTTAAAATCTTGTTTTTAATGCCCCAAGAGCAATAAAAACACTTGTTAAAAAAATCCTGAGTGAGGCTTTCATAAATTGCATTTCGCTGACGCTTTTATCCAAAGCGACTTACTATTTAATAAATGATAAATGATTATTCAAAACAAATATGAGTGATGTGTGATTATTATTCATGCTATATACTGATATAGGGCTAAGTAAGCAATCAATCCTGCAAATTAACCCTTAGTTGTTCAATATATTTATTCAGACAATGTGAGTAGAAATACAGAAATTCTGCTCCCACCTAAGGCCAACGTTGCAATATTACAACATTTCCCTAAAAACTTACCAAAACGTAAACATTTTTAAAACTCTTTCATTTCTGCTCCAGAGGCCAGGGGTTAAATTGGGATTTGATATGTGGGGGGGGCTCTGTTAGAAGGTGCGACGGGGGAGGGGGGAGAGAGTTAGACGCTCGTGAATTGTCAACGGGGGGGGTTGACATCAGAGCATCGTCCTATGGGCTTAGCCCCGGACAGGTACAACAGGTATTCACTCAGAGGGGGGTACTAAATGCCACCCATTTACATGTAGGCAAACAAAATCAACATAGAGTAGGGGGGTGGGGGATGGTGAACGGTATGGTCAATGTTTGTAAACACAATCCCCAGGATGTGTCCTGATCAAACCAAAATAGAAAATGCAGATATTACACTCAGACATTGGAAAAGTCTATGTTAAAAAGCCTCAGTCATGTTCAGCTATGTTACTATTTATAATGTTATTGTTGTTACAACAGAAGATGTTTTTCTTTATATTGAAGTTAAATGCATCAATCTGGTGCACTTTGAGGTCAAAATTAAGAGATTTATGGATACCGCTGGAAAAAGCTATGTGTGAAAGTTTAAATCTTCCTTATTGAGCTTTAAAACAAATTAATAACGACTATATATAATAATAAAATAAACACCGGCTGTTGTTATGCCTGCTGTAACGTTAAATTACTCCGTTCTCCGCTTAAGTAATTATGCCGTTCCAAGCTTCATAGTTGTATTTATCATCTAAATTTGCCGAAACAAGTTTAATATTCTGAAAGCCAAGACTTTGTTTATTTGAAATCAGATGAAAACAAACTGTAACGGGCCCTGCCGTGTTATCTTGATATTTCCGCCACAGACCCTTTCATACCGGCAATGCGCGATAGAAACAACAGGAACTGCGACAGCATAAATATGCGAACAGAAACCTACAGACTGCTGGAGAAGAGATATCACAGGGGGGGGGGGGGGGGAGGGGGGGTTGGGACACACACATTCCGATGGCCAATTAGTTTTAAACAAAGAGTATAGCCTACTCAACATAGGGGGGTGGGGGCTGGTGAACGGTATGGTCAATGTTTGTAAACACTGTGACATTTTGACTTTATTTGATCATTTCAGTTAAAAACTAATTTAGTAATTTACAGGAAAGGAGTGCACGCTACTAAAGAGACACGCTACCATGGAAACCAAACAATGGTGTTGCTGTATTGAAGTCCGAGTGGAAACAGTCATATTTGGAGCGTTATGTTAGAATGAAACAGCCAGGTCGTGACTCACAAAAAAAAAGTGTTACTTCACTAACTGTAAGCTTGTCACTCAGAGTAACCTACAGTTAACTTAACTGTTGGAAAAGAAAGATCAGGGGGGGGAGAGAGCTGTGGGTGATGGGCCATTAGGTGTGTAAACACACAGCTGAGAGCTGCCGTTTCATTCTGACTGTTTAAAAAACGGTAACAACGGACTATTTTTCTTGGCGGATGCATGTCAATTTAAATCAATACATACAACTATTTTTTAAATCAATAAAAACATTTTCTAAATCCATAAAAGCATTTCAATTAATATTGGGAGTCATGTCGTTACTTTGTTGAGAATGTGGCCATGTAATAAGCGGGATAATTTGCAGTGACTTGGTCATTATGGGGAAAAATAACACCCAGGGATCAAGATCCCTCCGCTACGCGGATCTTGATCTGCCTGACAAGGCTTCATTAAAATATAAATATTTTTAGTGAATTACTGAGTTTAGGCACGTTAATGAAGTTGAATACAGTATATTCATATTTGTCAGTGATTTCATGTCAATTTGGCGAACATAAACATAAATGATCGTGGTGAAGATGATGATTAAATTAGGATTAAAAATCGAGAGCCGGCTGCATTTCCTCTCGTTCGTTTTTTTCGACTAAACAACATTATTTTGTTAAATAACAACATGGTGATGTTTTGTAAATGATTACATGTCTTATTTAGCACAGACTATGATCCTATCCGTGACATATGGATCTTAACAAAGATCCGCTATACATTAGTACCAGACATATTGTGGTGATTGACATTATTCACCCACGGATCTATGGGTTGGGGTATTGTTCCGCACGGACATTTTAGTGAACCAGACCAGCTGTTTCCGCCGATCTTCGCTTCCCGGGCATGAAGTTGTTTACATGTGTGTTCAGATGCTAAATAAAAGTTTAGCTTGTACTTTTGATACCCCGCCTCCGACTCCCGTCTCTCGGCACCACAACATCCAGTTTACTGTATCGAAGTTGATTTCACATGAGCTCCAGTGTGGAACCCCACTGCACCCCCTGGTGGATCAATGATCCATTGCAACTGGCTTCACAATAATTACATTTATTTATCACGGGGGCGGTATCAAGTCAGACTGGGGGCCGGCTCTTCATCACGAACCGATCACGGGCCGATCACGGACCAATCACGGACCAATCACGACCCTCACGTTTCAAACTGTCTGAAATAAGATGCTCCATCTGTCATGGTCCATCCGCCTAGAGTTGGTGCTGACCGCAGAGAAAACGTGCTTAAAGACTTTAAAAGAATGAAACTATCGTGCTATTACATTACATTACATTTAGCTGAGGCTTTTATCCCAAGCGACTTACAACAAGTGCATTCGACCAAGAAGATATAAACTTAAAGAAAACAGAATCATATAAGTACATCAGGTTTCATAGAGCCAAAACATTTCAAGTGCTACTCAACTGGCTTTATCAACTGCTATCATATTATCTCTCTCAGTAGGGGGCCTCTACTTCTTAATGTCTTTTTTAACGTATTTTAAGCAATATACGCAAAAGATTCAGTTCAGATCTTAGTCTTCTCCCAGCACGAGAACGTTTGCGAAGAGGAGCAGTGTGTGTGGAAACAGGTTTAAACCAGTGTTTAGTCTGATGGTGAGCACATTACCTCCTTCACAAGGACGTTGTTCTGCAGAAGATGTACATCCAGTATTTGCTCCACTCTGTCCGGGGGTCGTAGGAACACCAGAATTTGGCCATTTATCGTCCACCCTAGAAGCCTTTTCAATGGATCGAAGATAATGCCGAGGAGAGAGAGGTGAGGCACCTTCACCACCACGTGAGTGGGTGTGACCTCCAGCGGCTCCAAGACGCTCAGGCCTTCATCAGTGATGTGGACGACAGACAACAGGCCGTCCAGGAGCAGCGCTGTGGAGCAAAGAGCTGGTCATCTGTTGCTTTGCTGCTGAAACAGCTTCATCATATTCAATGTCACACCACTTTAGTTCACAGCTAATGTTCATCTAATGTCATTCACTTTGGAGCCTCACTAGGATGTACCAGTTTATACCCTCCACCTTTTATTCTAATGTTTAATTATTGATCCGTCCCCCTGTGATCTTTCTGGAGGTGAGCATGCGTAATTATTTTCTAATTTAAAAGACTGCTGAGATGTTTGTAATCTGCAGTCAGAACAGCTTGACTGTGTCCGGACTCATGTCTGAATGATTCTCTAGACGTGTGAAGAGTTTTCTAAAGCTTTCAGGGCGTAGAAAGTCTAACTTATAAATGTTGTTGTCTGTTGTTTTGTTTTGTACATGCTTCAGCCAGACTGACAATGGAGAGAGCAGAAAGAGCAACAGATGGATAACAAAGTAATAATTAATCAAACTGCTAGCTTAGAGTGAGTTAGCGTTGAGTTAGCACTGTTAGCAGCTAAACATGCTGTGGACTGACAGGTCACAGTTTACATGTCTTTAATATACAGTGAGGAGACTGCAGAGGCCCAGAGACACTCCAACTCAGTATTTAGAGCTGCATTGCATCGTCTGCTTCAATAATGATGTCATGAAACACATCGACTAAATGGATGTTTTAATGATTTCATTCTTCTTCTTTTGGGGACACGACTATTTTGAATGTAAAGAACAGATTTCGTGTCTGAATTATCTTATCTTTGTTAAACTAGTTTAATAAAGCTGCTTCATAACTTCTGAACGGTAGAGGATATTATAAGGTGCTAAACATTATATAAGTGTATTTGTTAACACTAGATGTCTTTACCCTCCTCTGTCTCACTGTGCGGCAGGTGGAGCTGGCAGACGGCAGCTTCAACAGAACTCTTCACGTCAAACAGCGGCCCTGCTGCCTGCTTGCCAGCTGATTGGAGGAGACTCTCATCCCAAGGGACCGTCCTGTACAGAAGCTCCGCCTCCTGAGCCATGACGAACACCAGGCCAGTCGAAGCACACTGGAACTCACCTGGACCAGGACACCTGAACCTGTAGACACACAAGAGACAAGTTACTACAACAAGCCTTCACGGGCCTGTGTTCTGACTGACAGGTGTTCATCCAGCTGGATCTGACCTGGAGGAGGGTTTGTTGAAAGATCTGAAACACCTGATGGTTACAGGAACATCACTGAAGATGTGTCCACATGCATCAGGATGTGTGTGTACACTTTCATTCAATTAACAAAATGTCTAGTCCAGCGAGGATCTAGACTGGTACAAGAAAACAATCCTACACACAGAGGCATTATTTTATTCATGTCTGCTGGAAAGAGATTGGATGCAATACCTCAAGGTGAAAGACATGACATCAAACACAATGAAATTAATATATGTTTTTAATGTGTTTAAAATAATATTTGGTCATGTTGTAGGGTTACCTGTAAGAAGACTCAGGTGTGTGTTCAGGTGAGAAGGATTCAGGAGCCTGGAACAAACAAAGTTATTTATTATATTTGAAATCAAGTTAAGTTCTAGCTTCAACTCTGTACAGCTGCTCCTCTCTCACCTTTGTGTCTGTCTTCACTTCCTGTTCCACATCGGAGACACCTGATGGAGAGAAGAGGTGAGAAAAATAATAATAAAACAATAATAATAATTATTGTACTATAAATACCTTTTAAGATCAGATTTAATGTACAATATCTTGATGAATGGAGGACATGGTTTCAGTACTCACAGGTCTTCTGGATTGTGGATCTGAACGTCTCATTATCTCTGATCCTGTAGGGATGAACACAATCCAACAGTTTGAGATCCAGTTTAAATAAGTGTTAGTTCTTTGAGTCAGCTTCAGAGTCCTGATCTCATGCTTTACATCCCATCATATCTTCTCTGCAAACACTACGACTGCCTGCCACAGCTCTCAGCTGCATTACAGGAAGTAACCAGTCATTAGAAACTCAAAACATCCCATCAAGAACAGACTACCTTTCCCACTCTGCTGTCAAACCCCATGTCTGGTGGAAAGTTGTAGGGCTGCCCCCAATCAGTCGACTCAACGTTAGTCGGCTAAAGAAGTCAGCTGGAAACCCTCAGCCTTCATTCAGAGCGGAGCCTGGTCATTAAGATCATTCTGTCGGGCAGGAAATCTAAAGAGTGGATCTTTCTGAGCGTAAAGGACGAGTCCCACAAGGTGACATGCAGACTCCACAGAGAAGAAGTCTCCTCCGTATGATTATCCCACAACGTGTGTTCCTCTCTCAGACTGGGAGGAAAGCAGAGAGTCAGGCAGCAGCCTAGCTCTGTATCAACATATAGAGACCTATAATATAAAATCATTCTGACCTCAGAACACCATAAAGCTCTCATTTCATGATGAGGGCGTCATGTCCGGAGGGATTTCAGCCCACGCTCATATTTTCACTGTTTCCGTTTCCTGTGTAGTTTTTATTGGGTTGTTATATTCAGATATGAATTATAGAAACTAAACTACATGTTCAGTGTGTGTCCTCGCTGCTTGTTCACACACATTAAGAATCCTCAGCGGAGCTTCTGCTGTTCACACCGCTGCGTCCGTGCGCTGTGACTCTCATGCGCTCTCTACTGTAACATCTCATTTATACTTCAAAGGTTCATTATTACAGTCTTATTATATATTCTATGTGAAGCAACACTGTTATAATAATGTTCTTTATCAGCCTTGGAAACTGAAACCATTTTGGGAGAAAAAAACTAATATATGAATAATCATAATATATCCTAAACGTGAGTCGACTAATCGCCTGAACTGACGACTATCAGTCGACTAGAAGAATCTGTAGTAGAGGGCAGCCCTAGAGAGTAGATTACTGACTAAATGTGGCTTTGCATTTCCAGCTGTTCTTCTATAGTTGATGGAAGAATGAAAGAGCCTGCAGTCAGTGGGTAACATCACTGATCTGTTTCCCCAGAGAGAGAAACACCTCCCTGAGTTTCATACAATACTGCTGAACCAGCAGAGACCCCTTACTGACCTGAGGGTCTCCAGTCTGCAGTCTGGACTCTCCACAAGATCTCTCAGCAGCTTCACATCTGAATCATGCAGATCGTTCCAACTCAGGTCCAGATCTCTCAGATGGAGGGTTGGACTTCAGAGCTGAGATCAGAGCAGAACAGCTGATCTCTGACAACATGCAGAACTCCAGTCTGAATAAAGAAAACATGATGAGGATAAAGATGAGTTTATAATCAGATGTTTCTCAACATGTTTGTATAAATGTAAATATGTAAGTAGCAATAACTTGCAGAAATGATTTAAAGGATAATCATTGATCAGCATTGAGTAAGGGTAATCAATAAGCATCTGCTTCCTCCTGCTCCCTTTGGACACATATCATTTATTATTATTAATATTTGTGTTGAATATATAAATATCATTATGAATATTGATAAATACTTTATTCTAACAATACGGTATTCTGTTTTTCACATTTGTTATTTTTTATTTGTTGTTTTTTAATCTGTTTGAAATAAAGATGGAAATGAAAAGAAATGAAACATTGAAATGAATGAACAATAAAATGTGTCTCCTTCAGAAAGTAAACTTCATCATGTCAAACTAATATCACTTCAGATGACCTTTATTCAGACGTTATCGTTTACTAAATATTAAAAACATAGAATTACTTTTTACAAATAACAGCAGATATCTGTAACAGTTCCTTTAAGAACTTTATTTAGTACGTAAACATTTAAATTAGGGCTGTGCAATTAATCGTATTTTAATCTCGATTACGATTTTGGCTTGCAACGATTATGAAAACAACGTAATCGAAATAAAACGATTATTTAGCTGCGTTCCCTTTCTCAACGATGCTCTCAATGTGTCTTGCGTCACACACCCTGCCCCCCCCCCCCCCCCCCCCCCCCCCCCCCCTCAAAGCCCTCTCAGCAGGTCGTGCTGTGACTTGCAGTCTGTTTCATAAATCCATAGAAACACGTCACAAGGGAAGCTTTAGTTTCTTTATTCTCCGTCTCGAGCGTCAACTTCCACTAACTCGTCCAGCCGGAGCCTCTCAGCTACTTCCTGTTTCCAGATGAGGGGTTACCAAAATAAGAGCACTGCGTGGAGCAGTATAATTAAACATTACAGGTTGAGAGTGACGTCAGTTATCATATTTATATATGTTTAGTAGGTTGTGGAAGTGCGCTCCAAAATATTTGTTGATCTTCTTTATTGGTATTTATTATTTTGATATTATTTATTTAAATGTAGATATAAATGTATAATTTATTTTGTATTGGTTTTTCAGTTGAATTAAACTTAAAGTTCAGGGTAATCAACTGTTAAAAACATACTGTTCAGATTATTATTTGTTTTAAAGTTCAATAAATGGATGTTTTCAAAGTCAATGAATAATCGTATTTAATAATCCTGATATCAATTTTGACCAAAATAATTGTGATCATGATTTTTGCCATAATCGAGCAGCCCTAATTAAAATATGAATAAAACAACAATTACAAAAGTATGGATGTATGGATCCAGATCTCTCAGATGGATGTTTGACTTCAGAGCTGAGATCAGAGCAGAACAGCTGATCTCTGACAACCTGCAGCCACTCAGTCTGAATGAAGAAAACATGATGAGGATAAAGATGAATTTATAATCAGATGTTTCTCAACATTGAAATGAATGAACAATAAAATCTGTCTCCTTCAGAAAGTAAACTTCATCATGTCAAACTAATATCACTTCAGATGACCTTTATTCAGACGTTATCGTTTACTAAATATTAAAAACATAGATTTACTTTTTACAAATAACAGCAGATATCTCTAACAGTTCCTTTAAGAACTTTATTTAGTACGTAATCATTTAAATTAGGGTTGTGCAATTAATCGTATTTTAATCTCGATTACGATTTTGGCTTGCAACGATTATGAAAACAACATAATCGAAATAAAACGATTATTTAGCTGCATTCCCTTTCTCAACGATGCTCTCAATATGTCTTGCGTCACTGTTAAAAACATACCATTCAAATTATTATTATTATTTTTAAAGTTCAATAAATGGATGTTTTCAAAGTCAATGAATAATCGTATTTAATAATCCTGATATCAATTTTGACCAAAATAATCGTGATTATGATTTTTGCCATAATCGAGCAGCCCTAATTAAAATATGAATAAAACAACAATTACAAACATATGGATGTAATATATTAATGTAGAATAATCAGGTTGAATAACTAATGAAAGATGAGATCTAAGAGAGGCTGTGGCTCAGTGGGATAGGGTGCTGAACTTTGAATCAGGGGGTCACAGGTTCAAACCCCACTGCAGTCAGCATGTCGTTGTGTCCCTGGGCAAGACACTTCACCCCAAATTGCTCCTGTGGGGATTGTCCACAGTATTGAGTATGTAAGTCGCTTTGGATAAAAAAAAAAGCGTGACATGTAATGTAATCTCCAGCAGTAACAGAGAGTCAGTGAACTGACCTGAGACTCTCCAGAAGATCTCTCAGCTTCACTCCTGAATCCTGCAGATCGTTGTAACTATATTGATAAGGTATTGATAAGATATTGGGGCGTGATCACAGGACCATCAAACGTCTTGTTGAAAATAGTCAACAGGGTCGCAAGAAACGTGTTGAGAAAAAGATGAAATGAAGTGCCAAAGATTTGAGAAGAATGAAACGTGAAGTTACCAGGAAGCCATTATCCTCCAGTATCATATTCCAGAACTGTGAGCTATCTGGAGGGCCCAGAAGTCTCAGGTGTTCAGAGACATGGCCAAGGTAAGAGAGGCTGAAACCCAACCTCCACTGAACAAGACACACAAGTTCAAACTTCAAGACTGGGCCAAGAAATATCTGAAGACAGATCTGTCAAAGGTTTCATGGACTGATGAGATGAGGGTGACTCTTGACGGAGCAGATGGATCAGTAACAGGCACAGAGCTCCACTTCCACTCAGACACCAGCAAGGTGGAGGTGGGCTACTGGTGTTGTTAAAGATGAGCTAGTTGGACCTTTTCAGGTTGAATACTCAAAGTCAACTCCTGAACCGACTGCCAGTTTTTAGAAGACACTTTCTTCCATCAGTGGTACAGGAACAAGTCTGCATCTTTCAGGAAGACCATGATTTTATGAAGAACAACGCTCCATCACAGGCATCAAAGTACTCCTCTGTGTGGTTTTCCAGTAAAGGCCTTAAAGATGAAACACTAAGGACATGGCCCTCTTCCTCACCTTATCCCTTCCTCACCCAGACCCGGCGCCAGAACAAATCTAAAGGGAGGGCATATGATTTTTATGGGAGGGCACACAAAACCGTCATGTGCTGCGGGCCTGCGGCACAATATATATCAAACAGCAAGGCCAACTCTGCATCTTTGTGCAGCGTATACTCAAACAGCGATAGGAAGAGCCCACTGCCTGACTCGGACATGCTGTGGACTGAATCGTGGTCACCTCTGAGAGGGAGTTGGTTGACAGCTAAAAAAGCTATAATATCAACGACAGCTGACACGTAATAACGGTTCCGTGCCAGCTGATCTGTGTGCACCAAAGTACTAATTTCCTTATTTGTTTCCTCGCGT